TGAACCGTTACCTAGAGATTTTATCCCCTGCATCTTTTCCTTCAGCCGGGTGTTCTCCTCCACTAGCCGCTCAAAGGCTTTGGCCGCCTCCTCCCTCGTGGCCCCGCCGGGGTCATAGATGCGATACGGTCCTTTCCCTTCCATGCCCGCTGCTCACACATCCGCCTCCCAGCCAGACATCCCTGCAAGGCAACAGGTCAGAGCGTCACCTTCCCTGGTGGGCTGAGCCATGAGTCCCCAGGGCATCACCCCCCTGCCCTCACGCGGGCACCGGGAGCCGTCAGCCTGCCAGGCAGAGCTGGCCTGCAGCTCACAGGCAGAGATGGGCGGTGATCGCATGTGCCCTTGCTTCCTGTGCCTCCCTTTGAAGGTGGCTCAGGGCAGCCACGAGGATCCCGTTGGTCTCTATTGCAGGGGGTGGTTTGGCCACATGAGGAAGCAGGGGCAAAGGTGGGCAGACCAGCCAGCTCCCCCTGGCACTGCCCCAGCCTCTCCAGGCTCTATGCATTGATTTTTCTTGCCTTCCCTCTGTGCAAAAGATGTGCAGGGCAAAGGCAAAGCCTGCTGCGAGGGTGACTCTCTGCATAGCTTCTGCTCCAGACAGTTTAGGACCAGGCATTGCAAAATACGGCAGCCCCAAGACAACCCGCTGCAATAATGGACAGCACAGATCCCCCTGGGCTGTGGTTTTGGCTCTGGACAGGTCTTTCCCCACTGCCGCCTGCCTGCTCCAGTCTCCCAGGGTGGGATGGCTGGATTCTCATGCAACTTGGCAACATGCTTTAATGCTGCACCGAATTAACAGAGCTTAAAAATCAAAAAAATCATGGGTGTTAAGGAGTTGCCTTCATCCCAGTCATTTTGGGCAGGTCAAAGCAGGTGGCTGTTTTTCCCCTTCTCAGAGGTTTCTCATGTTGAATGGTTTCTAGAATTGTATTTTTCCTCTCCTAGGAGTTGGATTTTTTCTAGAAAAGCTGCCTGCCATGCGAGGCGACAGACAAAGCACAGTCCACACGCACAAAGAGCAAAGGAACCAGTTTGCAAAATGCCCCTTAATAAAACACCAGGCTGTGGCAAGCTGCAGACGGGAAACCGAAAGGCAAATGAAAATCAGCATGCCAGGAAAAGATTTTTCAGATGCTTTAGAAAAATCCCAGGGTTCTCTCATAATGGAAATCCCAGCAGGAAAAACAGCATCTGGGAGTGAAAAAAGCCCTTCTTCCTGGCTCGTGGACTCACTGGACTCCTGTAGAGTTGGGTCCTGAGACTGCAGGTTGTTACTGCACCGACAGGCCAGCGACAGGCTCTGGACCTCCCGGCATCTCTGGGATGCCCTCCGGGACCCAACCCAGGCACAGACCAGTTTGGACAACGTTAATCAGCCTTATCAGACCCCCAAAGACTCTGGGATGACTCTTACGGAGTTTGTGGGGTGCAAGCACCTCGACTCAGCCAGGAACCGGGCAGGGCATCAGGTCACTTGGGAAGACGTGAGGGACCACAAATGGACCACGAAACAAAAAAACAAATAAAAACCGGTCACCCCATGGGATGCCCGTTGAAACACCAGTGCGCTCTCGGGACTCAGAAACCTCTTGACGTGGTGAATCTATTCAGTACTTTTATACGTCCCGTGTACTCTCCGGTTCCTCGTGAGCATCGACTGCAGCTGCTGCAGGGATGCTGATGGGAGGGGAAGATGCAGCCACGGCGAACAGGCCAGGCCCGAAGCGGGTGAGACGACAGGGCTGCGTGCCCTGTGCCAACCCCGCCACCGACAGAAGCGCCGTGCCCTGCTAACCCACGGCCCGGAGCCAGCTGCCGACACTCGCCCTTTACATAACCTGCCTCCGGCGCCTGGGGACTTTCCAGATGACAACTGCCACCTGGCAGGATCCAGGACCAGAATAGCAATTAGCACACATTCGTCTGGAGATAATTGCCATGACCTTGCTGGGGACTTTTGCTCCCGGGCAAGGCTCAGACGTGCCCTGCTTAGAAGGGTCCCCCTGGCCCTCTCTGCAGCACCCACATGCCCCGCCTGCCCTGGGATGCTTTGTCTGTTCAGTCACACACTCATTTCTAGAGCAAACGAGTGGCATTTCAGTGAATAAAGGGGACACGTGAGTCCCTTCCCTCTGCAGGCATCTCTTCCCCTGGCCTCTCTCTTCCAGCCCCCCAGCACTGTGCTGAGCCTGGACACCAAAGCTGGTGCAGCTCATGCCCTGGGGACCGACGTGGCTGCGTGTCCCAAGAGGAGCCCCAGGTGAGACCGAGCCAATGCATCCTCCGAGGTGGTGGCTTTCAGCTGCTCCAGGAGCCCTGGCTCTATTTCCAGAGCCCGGTGGCAGCTGGCCGAGTGTGGTGCTTGGTGCTAACCTCCTCCTGGCAGCAGGACGTCTTCTTCTTGCTGCCGCCAGGTGTAGAAGGACCCCCCAGCGCAGCAGAGCCGAGAGGTCACTCCGCAGAGCTCGGGTGGCCCGAGCATCTCTCATGCCTGCCACGCGAGATCAGGGCCGGCCAAGACCACGCTCTCTCCCAGTGCCCGAGCGGTGAAGAACCAAGCGCTGGACTTTGAGGATTGCCACGGCCAGAGCCCAGCCGGGCAGAGAACCCCCACGGCCACGGCCTCTTGGGAAGGGCAGCGTTCTCCCTTCCTCTCTCAGGCAGGCCTGTCCCGACACCTTCCAGCATCGATTTAAACATTGACGGTAATCAATTTTCCTCCATGAGCATTTAAGCATGCCAGGGAGTGCGCCCGAGCACCCAGCCTCTGCTCCCGGCTCCACTGAGCTCCATCCGGACACATTCATGGTGGGTGTATGCGGCAGCTTAAAACAAGCCCAAGCTGGTTTCCAAATCAGCAACACAGAGGCAAATGCATCAACCAGATCTTATCTGCGTTTCTTCATTAAGGAGCCGTGATGGAGGTGCCCCCTGCTCTCCCAGCTCTGCAGTGGATCTCCCAGGATCTGGGGCTTTTCCAAGATCTTCCGGCAGCTGCAAGAGAGGTGGCAGGAGAGAGCTTGGCTTTCATTTAAAAAGGAAGAAAAACAGCGGTGCTATGTTTTCAGTCCTCTTGGTTAGGCCGAAATGGTCCTGACCCCTTCATCCAGTTCAATTCATGTTCCTTGGGTTTGCAAAAATACGTAATTTTTAAGACAGTCTCGTGGTTTTTGAATGTCGAAAGGATGTGGCAGGAATGTGTTAGTCTGTAATGTGGAGGGTACAACACAGGGCAATTTCTCTCCTGCCCCAGGACCGAGGTCAGGGATCCCTGTGGGGTCTCTCCCAAGGCCACGGGAGGCTCTGCCGATGTTCGTCTGCTCGACCACCTCCCTGCCACTGGCAGAAGGACGTACGAGCTCCGCGATGCCTCTGCTTTGCTGGGACTTGCTTGCTTCCCTCGTGCTCTTGAGCAAAGCTGCCTGGGCTTTTCCAGCAAGGGTTTGGGTCATGAGACACTCTCCCCAGGGTGAGCATGGCAGCTTCAGGGGAAGCAAACGGCACGGGTGCGCGGCAGGCTGAGGTTGCATGCTATGGGCTCCGGGTTTCGGCTTGGCAGGGAAGGGACACCTCTCGGCAGAGGGTTTTGGGCACGACTCGGCACGAGGAGGAAGCAGACAGGGTGAGTGGGTGGGGGAGGACGCAGGTTAAAAAGCGTGACTGTCACGTGGTTAAATGGCAGCTTCTGGGAGCACAACAACACGCAGCGAGCTCAGGGTGGGAAACGCGCCTCCCGCTCCCCTGCCGCCTGCACCCATTTCGCCGCGGACCCCTGCAGCCAGCCAGCACTTTGGGGCTGGGGCTTGCAACCCAGGAGCTGCGTGGAAAACAGCTCTCCCATGCCAGAAACATTTCCAAGACAGACAAGGTTTCCCATCTGGCATGAGGGCAAAGTCAACCTTGAATTTCTGCAAGCAGAAACATCCCGGGGGGGGCGGAGGCGCTGGCGGAGTGGATCTCAATTTAAGTCCCTGAACGAGGTGCGGTTTCGATTGTCTTGAAAGGTTTCGTTCTGATTCTGAACCTTGATTCTTCCCTCCTGATCTCCTATCACCTGACTTCTAAGCAAAGACGTTTGGAGTGGGAAATCCAGGGCGTTTCGTGAAGAAAAGGCCGTTTTGGCCATTTTTGAAATTTAAAAAAAAAAAAAAAAAAAGAGGGTTTTTTTGCGCGGGGAAAAGAAACCTTGGCACCCTGGGCGACATCCCCTGGGCAGGCTCTGTATTGGGGTACACCTGGTTTGTCAGAAAACTCCCAGCAAAGCCCGAGCTCCACTCGGCAGCAATGGGGGCGAGAGAGGGAGCCACGGGAAAGTCTCCTATTCTTGGCGAGGCTGCCCTGCAAACGAGGAAGCAATCTGAAGCTGCACTAATTTGGGCTTCGTTAGGGTCTCGCCGCTCTGCAAGACTTAAACGAAGCGGCCGCAAGACGAGCGGGAGGAAACTGTCTCTTGGGCAAGCAGAGGAGCCGTAGGCACGGCAGGGACAGCGCCCGCAGCCCTTGGCTCTCAGCCACAGCCACCGATACCCTCTGCCCCACCTTCGCCACGCCCACATTGGGAAACCATGGACTACCCAAGGGCAGAGCTCAGCTGCAGACGGCCGCAGACCCATGGGAGCACACGGCCATGGCCGGCCCCAAAGCCATGAGTCATCCCCTTGACCTTGCAAGACTGGCTTCAAATTAGCAGCGGTGGTGGGGCGGGAGGCAGGTTCGTTTCCACGCTGGGCCGGGAGACCTTGGCAGGCCTGTTCTCCGTGGCCGCAAAGGATGCACAGGGCGATGGAAGAGCCTCAAAGCCCTGGTGGGGCCCATCGAGCCCCAGGACAGATCAGACACCCCCTGCCCCAGGGCATTTACACTCGGAGGCAGGAGCAGAGCAGCGGCAGCGGGTGCAGATTGAACACACAAGCAAAGGGGAGGAATGAAATGCATCCAGCCTGGCCACGTGGGCGGCACAGGGGGTAGAAGGCAGGGAGGAAAGCAGGGGGCAAGGAGAAGAGGAAAGGCCATTGTGAAGCCAAGCAGATTCCTCCCTTCGCCCCTGGGGTCGGCAGTTCTGTAATCTTCTCAGCACCTTGTGGTTTCTTTGGGTAAATGTGATATCTTTTGTTAGACCAACTCAATAGTTGGAAAGTTTGTGCTTTGCCAGCTTTTGGGCACAAACACCCTTCCCTGCCACTGCCAGTGCCCTGTCTCCCCTGCCCACGTCGTCCTGCAAGAGGCACAGGAGAAGGTTCCCCACCTTCTCTCACTGATTTTGCATTTCCAAACTCAGTTCAAGGGCAGTTCTTGCATTATAAGCCTTTCCTGGGGCCTGAATTCACACCACCCACTCTCTGCCGCCAGCATCTGTAACCGTCTCTGCTGTAGAAAGCAAACAAGTAGAGCCCACCGGCAAAACCCAGCCAGCCACAGCCTTCAAACCAGGGAAATAAGGAATGGGGAAAGACTTGTGCCTTTTTTGCAACAAAGCCAGCAAAGTCCTCATTTGGATCTATACCTGATGCCCCTAAGCTGTGCAGACCCTGGGGGCAGGGAAGCTGACCTCCATACCCAGGATCCAGGAGGTGCCCACTGACTCCCCCATACAGCTGCAGTCCCTGGACCTATTGCTGGACAACCTTTCTCCATCAGGAGAGGCACCATCCCAGGCTCACGAGAGCTGGAGCATATGCCAGCCTGCTGCTACAAGCACTGCAGAAAAAGCACCCCCGCCAACCTACGCCAAGCAGGGGAAGCGCGGAGTGCCAAGCCATAGTTTGGGATGACGCAAAGGAGCAACCCCTTGAAGAGACAGTCGGGGAATCAGGCAAGGAAGAAGCCGAAGGAGCCGGCTACACCGCTGGAGACCCTGTGATCTCAGCCCCCGAGCCACGACTGCTACCATATAACAGACAGCTCCCATCTCCCTGCTGCCCCAGAGCTTGCTGCACGGGGAGGAGGGGGAGCCCATCGCACCGCAGGGCTCGAAGGAGCTTCCATGTCCTTGCCAACGCTGCGCCAGGCGGGAATGGGGGAAGCGGCAAAGGGCTGGACCCGCCACTGGGCTCCCGCGGCCTCCTCCTACCGGGACCCACGGAGCGGGGCTGGGGACGACTCAGCCTGTTCTCAGCTGCGGGGCTTGCATGAGTGGGGCTGGATTTCTGCCCCCGAGCCACGGTCGGTCGGGGCGTCCCCCAGGGTGTAACCTTACGAGCCTGGCTGCTGGGGTCTGCCCTGTTATCAGTGCCGGAGTGGCAGAGCGAGAGCTGAACCCACCCACGGCTGACCCACGTGCACTGGCCTGGCACCCCCAGCCTCCCCGGCAGCTTAGGCGGATGGAGAGACGGTTCCTGGCCACCTCCTCGTTCACACACGGCCCAGAGCCAAGATAGCAACTGCTGCCTGAGCCCAGCAGCCCTGGGGAAGCTACTCAGTGCCTTGGAGCTGCCCATGGGCGACGCAGGGCTGGAAGCAAGGAGAGAAGACGGCCCCTTCGTCCAAGAGGACCCCCAGCAAGTGCCCTGGGGTCTCTCGGCGGCAACCCCCCGCCTCCCAGCTGCCGTCCTTCCCAAGAGCCGCGCCACCCCCTTCTCCCCGTCCTGCAACACCCGATAATAATCCCGAACTGCAGCATAAACCAGCATTTCTCTGGCAGACGCCGAGCGCTCTCCCAAATCACAGCTGGGCTGACCCGTCCCAAATCCACACGGACCCCCAGATCCACGGGGCATCGGCCATGCAGCGCGGGGCACCTTTGCGGGCCAGAAGGCTCCTTGGGGGCTGCCCGACCCGGCTCGCGGCTGGCAGGGACCTGCGGGGTCTGGCAAGGAGGGGTGTCCGGGGGACTATCCCCACCAATGCTCTCCCCCCCGAGAGCTAAGATCAGAGCCAACCGGGCGCTGGTGGGGAACG